TATATATATAAGAGGGTCCATTTACTCTAAGAGTAAGTCTACCTAAACTTACTCTATTCAATAACTCATGTTTTACATCAAATTTTAATGATCCAATTGAATTTAAAGTTGATAATGCAAAAATTAAGTCTATAAATTTTAAAAAATTTGAAAAAATAATAAATAATAATAATAAATAAAAAATAAGGTATTACACATAAGTTTTTTCTTTAATCAAATACAACACATCTTTCTAGTGAATTCATTCACAAAAGTCATGAAATATTTATTACCTCTCAATAATGGAGTCTCAATCGGGCCATATACATCTAAATGGGCACTTCTAATGGTTGTTTTGCATGAAAAGTTGTGTAAGACTTGAAAGCTTTCCCTAGTTTCTTACTCATAAGACATCATTCACAAACTTGTTCTAATGGTTTAATGGAAGGCATCCTAATCATCATCTACTTCACTCCAAGTTGATTCAGACTTTTAAAATTTGAGTGTCCAAATTTGTAATGCCACAACCACCTTTCATCCTTAGTATTTGTGGTTAACAAACATTGCACCTTTGATGCATTCAAATTCGCTTAGAAGATTTTTTTCTTGTAAAAAGAAGTCTTTAACATCAATCTTTGCTTCAAATCAAATATCTTTATATGATTTTCCTTCATATTCATTAAGAAGTCATTCTCTAACAAATGTTCCAAACTGAGTAAATTAGTCTTCATTGATGGTACATCCAAGACATTAGTCACATATGCAAATTTTTCATCCTTCCTCTTGATCACAACCTTTCTTATTCCTTAACTTTTACTATAATGGTATTGTTATATGCAAATTTCACTTTATTCCTGACACTTGCATCAAAATCAAGTAACTAATCTCGATGCTCTGTCATATAATTTGAATGACTTGTGTCAAGATACCAAGACTTAAAGTTATCATCATCAAAATTTGTGGTTACCATAAACAACACTTGATTAGAATCTAACCATTTGTCTTGAGAAAGATATGCTTTACCATTAGGCTTTCCCTTTCTTTCTTTCCCACTTTTGTATTTTTTTCGCAAAATCCCCCATAAAATTGTAACACTGAATTTTATTCTTATCAAACTTATTATTTCCCTAATTTCTTTGACCTATATTACCCCCTCATCTATTTTTAAATTTGACTTGATTATGTTTAATTTGACATTGATCTTGATTATTTGATGAGTCACCATCTCCACCACTCTTGCCACCTTTCCAAATGTCTTTTCCTTTCTTGTTCTAGCCACCTGCACCTTTCTTCTTGTAGTTGGTTTGAGGTAGCAATATTTTTTCTTGAATCTTTTCACTATTTCTCCTCTTATTTAGCATATATTTATGAGCTTTAAGGGAATTATGCAACTCTTTTACCTTCATCGTCTCAAGATCTTTGGATTCCTAGATTGCCACCATAGTATTATTAAAACGAGGAGTCAAAGTTTTGAACACCTTATCTATAATCTGTTGATTTGTAAACTTCTTATTACAAGATTTCATTGAATTAGCCAGGGCTTGAATTCAATTGAAATAATCAATTGTGGACTCTTGTTCATTCATAAACAACAATTTACATTGCCTTCGAAGAGATTGAAACTTCACAAGCTTTATGCAAAATATCCCAAGGTTCTTTTGTTAAACTAGATGAGCAAATTTTCTCAAAATTTGCAAAATCCACACATTGATGGATCATGAAGAGAGCTTCACATTCTTCCTTCTTGGACTCTCTTTAAGTTGTCTATTGCACCTCTATAGCACTTTATTCCACTTTTGAATCTTGTTCCTCAAAATTTCCAACACTTCTTGGAAATGAAAAATGACACTCATCTTCACACACCATTGCTCGAAGTGTTTGCCATAAAAAAACTAGTAAGTTGACAAGGAAAGACTTATAAGAAGGAGCCATGATTCACTCTTCCAACATTATGTAAGAAAGTAGAAGTATCCATACACAGATAGTAGAAACTCACATAAGAAAGGGTTTCTCTAGTAGTAGAACGCCTTGCAACCTAGTGGATTTCACATGTACCACCCATATATCCCTTGTAATCAACAAGCTCTTAATACTAATTTGTTGGGAATGACACACATATACTTACACAACAAAAATAAGAACAAATAACAGAGAGTAAAAACTAATTATAGAAAAATTTTATTCTCATTCTTGTATATTACACATGACTACTCATCCCTTATATATAGCAATAATATAAACACATTTATAGAATACATTTATAGATGATACAAATATATAATACTAACATACTAAGATATATAGATAATACCTACAAATTATACCATCAAATTATATATATAGATTAAACATGCGGATAATACATTGAATTCCACTAAGCAAAAATAACAAATGGCTGAAAATTAAGCTATCCACTTCAGCCACGAATTAAAGCATATTTTTAACAACAATTACACTTCTGATACACACAAAAAACATGACAATAAAAATATTATTGAAAAAAAACTAATTTTAATTCTACATATCCACGAGCCAATTATTAGTACCTAATTAATATCTTGTCCATTTGTTGTTCTTCATCTAATCATCCACCATATTGGTAGTGTTTGTTTTCTAATTGATCGATCAATTGATGCAACATCTTTTTATACTTGTTCGTCATATGATCAAATATCATCCCTTTTGAAAGTCTAAGTTTCCCATATAATTGTTTAGGCGTTTCATATAAGTAGAGATGTTTCTCATCTGGACCATTGTGGTTTGAACTTAAATTTCCAAATGAACGTGAAGGGACAATATGCATAATCCTGCCCGGAGGATAAAGAGGATGTTTACCCGAGTTGTCTAACGTTGAAATTGCACCAACTTTTTCTTCATTATGAACAACACGATTCTCTTCTGTGATTTCTTTGGTTGTGGCTTCTTTTTTTTCCTGAACATTCATGTTAAGTGTAATATCTTGACTCTCCAATTCAAGCTTCTCCAATAGCTTCAACAACTCTTCTCCAGATATGACTTGTTCATCATCTTCATCAAATGCGTCATCATCATAGTCAGATTCATCACTAGAAAAATTAGATTCGTCTTCATTACTTGATTTAGAGTTTGACGATGAGACAATATTCTCATGTTGGGACCAATGTAATATCGAGTGAACTCTTTTTTTATGCTTCATCAACCGCTGTAGACATTATTAAGAAGAATCAATATCAACATAGGATAATTAATATATATATATATATATATATATATATATATAATGTGAGAAATCCCTATTCAAAAAAATGATATATAATTATAAAAATAGCCAGAACTATAGCATTAATTTATCAAGATCGATGGTCAATTATTCACTCATATTTTATTAACTGCACAAGCAAACTTTTGTTAGAGTTTAGTGAAACTAACATAGAAGACCGTATTCCCATAGAGCGTTGACTACTTTTTGAAATAACATGAATAGAAAGCAAATTAAAAAAAAAATTAAATGTTTATAATCCCTTAAATTTAGGATTAGTTTATTTTTGTCTTTCAAATTTAAAAATAAATATCTTTTTTTTTTTTCAATTCTTGTTGCTGAATCTAACACAAAATTCATCTTGTCAGAATTTTTTTTACCCTTTTTAATGATCAAAGATAGTTCTGATCAGAGAATAGTAAATTTGAGTCTAACTCAATATTACAAAATTAACTTATAAGATGAGAATTACTCTTCACTTATATATTATTTTATTACTTTATCTTTAGTCGATGTGGAACTTAGATTTTTCTCGATATCATCTTAATATATATGTTGTATTTTGAATGTCGGAAGAAAATAAGGAAAAAAAAGAATTTAAGAATTTAAATGGAAGGAAAAAACTTTGAATTTTTATTTTGTTTTTGAACCGACGAAAAAAAAATAATTATCTGTCTTTTTCTTTTTCCTATTTAATTATTTTGTTTTCCAAGATCCAAACATACTAATAATGTGGACACATATATACAAGGGAACTTGAAGCTACCTTGGCGCCACTGGTTACTGCATGATTTGCAATTGCTTTAGCACCAGATACAAGTGGTAAGTGAGATTCAATGGCAGTTATAGCTCTATGAGCAGCATTTAGCAATGCTTTGTGCTTAATCTTAACCTGTAATTATTCAGTCAATATTATGCAGTGAGTCAGTGACCTAATAAAATTTAACTCGAGCAAAAAAACGAAACATTTTCTAACAAAAAGCATCTTCAGAAATTAGAAATTATATTTACTTAAATTAATATTTTCCAAACTATCTTAAGTTGGGAGAACTATAGTTGGAGCACCTCAGAAATGAAATCACTAATGGAAGAAGCTGATAATGTAGGCACTATGTCAGAATCATTTATAACAGAAATGATAAAGGGCTTCCCAAATTCTGCCAACTCCAATGATACACAAGCAGCTGCAAAAATTACAATTATAAAACTAAGACTTAGAAATAATATTGATCATCAAAATTGGGCCGGGGAAAGGACTTTGCAATATGAAATAATTTATATCTTTTCAACGTAGTTACCCAAAATTAAGACTACAAATTATAATTTTGTTATTAAATTAAAGTTAATATAGTTTTAAGTACATGCCTGGGCCAAACGTGACACAAGTGCAGGTAGAGAGTTCTCGTGTTTCTCTAAGCCTATATGTCAACAGTGCAGCGGTACCACCACCAAGCGAGTGTCCAACGATCTATGGAAATTAAGATTATTATAATTATAATATGTAATGTAAAAATGAAATATTGGATAGCAATTATTACATGATTAGATAAAATGAAAGTTGAAGCAAGAATATGGCATTCAAAGTGAAAACATAGGAATAAAGATATGGAATGAAAAAGGGAATACAATAGTTTTAATTTTTTATAAGTGCATGTTTTTGTAGAAATTTGTCTGATTCAAAGCTAATAAGAAACTAAGTAATAATTAAGAATATATAACCTTGACTTTATAGTCGGGGTAATCACGAAGAGCACGAAGTAGTATAGAAGTGCAATGCTGTTCAATCCAATCAGCTGCAGCAACCATGCCACAGTGTGCTTGTCCTGAAATTGTGTTCCTCGTAACCTCACCATCATGACTGATACTGCAAATGAATTTATGTTGGAAGGGAACAGGAGCACCCATTGCATCTGTCAGTGTGTCTTCTAAGCTTTGAGTTCCACGGATGAACACGAACAAACATTTTGATTCTCTATCACGTACAACTGTGAAAGCCGGCACTAGAATCTGACAAATTATTATTTTCAGTTAATCAACCTACATATCAAACATGACACCAATTCGGACACCCAATATAACTAATGTTCAAAATATATCCAACACAATATATATACACACATTTAAGCTTTACAATTTTTATACGGTAATAATCTTCGCAAGATGAATTATATTTTTTAACAGTTAAAATATATAATTTTTACAAAAAATAGGTCTCACAAAAGATTAAAAAAATATTATCAATATTGCAATATTTGTAAATTAATTAATTTTTTTTAAAAATATTTAGGTTCAAATATTTTTTTAGTTCTTACAATTTACTAAATTTATTTTTTCGTCGTTATAATTTAAAATAAGTCTTTTTAGTTTATATAATTATCTTTCAATATTTTTTAATCTTTATACTTGTATATAGATATTTATATTTTTTTAACCATTTTAGTCATTATTATTAATTTTTTTTTATAAAATTGTCTCTTTTGTATTGACGTAATAAATGTATTAATTAATTCAATTTTATATATTTGATATCACATTTGTTTTGTTAGAATTAGTTTAAATTAAATTATTCATACTTTATATCTCTTTTTAATTCTTATTTGCTATGTTCATTGTGAAGACATTATTTTTCTTACTCTCACACAATTAAATAATTTTATTACGTAAATACAAAACAACAGATAACATTAAAAAAAAATAACAATAGCGGCTAAAATAATTAAAAAACTATAAATATAAGGATTAAAAAAATTATCTTAAATTATAAGGATTAAAAAAATAAATATAAAAACTTTTTTTTTTAACTATAAAAATTAAAAAATAAAATAAATAAAATTAAAAAATTAAAAAAATACTTTAACCAAGTATTTATAATAGATGTTTATATAGCTAAAAACATATATATGAACTCACTTATATGTTCAAAATAAATAAATAAATAAAAATTTAATTATACCACAACAAAAGAATATTGGGTATATATATCCATGTTGGAAAGGGTACAAGAAGTAAAGATTAGATGCATGAAGTGAAATTTTGATTGTTAATGAAGGAAAAAAATTATAATAAGGCAAGTTAATTACCTCACAATTCTCCCTGAGAAGGACATCCTCCTCAACGAATCCAGCATCGGATAATCTGGAATGATACCTTTTTTTGCTAAAAAGCATGGTCCGTGTCAAGCATCTTTTAAGCTCATATAAGTCCTTTAACATGTCGGGGTCTTTTAGTTGCAGACAATCACTTCTTTCACCACATTCCATGGGAACTGTTTTCTTACCCTGCAAGCGTCACACTGAATATATAAGAAGAAGAAAAATAAATTTAAAGAAGAGAATTAAATTAAATATTAATAGGTGATGGATGACCTTGTCCATGATGGCATAAAGGATGGCTCTGGACAAGTCCCAGAGGTGCCATTTGCCGAGTGTCTCGGAGTAAACGAATATCATGGCCTTCGCTAACGTCAGCACTAAGCCCATCAAATTTTGGGGTGGTACTGCTGGCCTCTGCTCAACCTTCTTGGCAACCCCCTTAACCACTCTCGACAATATCATTTTTACAACTTTCAAATGCAAGGAAAGAACAAAGGTAGATTATCGGGTTCAAGTTCGAAGGAGAGTGTGTGACCTTCTGAACCCAGAAGCTTGCTTTTATAATCACTATAGACTGCAAATAAATAAATAAATAATTCTACAATTCATTAAATAAAGACGTATGCAGGTTAAGATTGATGATGTCATACAAAGGAATAATAATAAATAAATAAATAAACAATGTTACAAAAATATGCTTTTTGTAACACGTGGAGAATTAAAAATTACAAGAGCAGGGAGGTACTAACTTTTTTTAATTAGAGTAAAATTTAATGACTAATAATGCATTCTACTAAAATTTATTTAAGAGACTAATACATATTTAAGGAACTAATACACAATTCTTATCTAGATAATTATATTATATTTATTAATTATATATGTCATATTTTATTAGTTGGACCATTGGAAAGTACTAACTAGTTTAGTTGTAGATTTTTGTTCTTTTTATCAGCAAAACAATTAAGCATATGTTATAATATGAAGGGTGCAAGGATACCTAAATATAATCATCCACAAAATACACATTTCTTTGAGTTCACCTTTGTCTTTAACCGCCCTGAAATTTTGACTAAATCATTTATTCTAATTTAAATATGATATTTTAACTTAATATATCAATAAGCGTAATTAAATAGCTGAATAAAAAATGTAAGATATATTTTATAATACGTATATATATTTAAATAAATAATATCACTGATGTTATGGTATATAAAATATTATCTATTAAATAAAATGACTTTATTATTAATATATCATTGTTCAAAACAAAATATTTTATCAAAGAACCTAGGACATAAAATCATATTGGAATGACTTGATGGATATTTTGAGCTCATCCTATAAAACACATCACATCTTACTTTAAAATTAGTTTAATTATTTTTTATATGTATAATTTCATAAATTTTTATAGTAAAAAATGTTTCATTATAATCTTATACATATTTTGTTAAAAATTTTGAGAACTAATAATAGAAATAAAAATTAAATTTTGTTAAATTTTATCACATTGATTTTTGTTGTAAGAAGATCTTTTTCTGCCCAGTCTTCCTATATAGTTGATGTTTCAGTCTGCCAACTGCCAAGCAGTAAATTAGTGGCTGAGAGCTCCCAAGTCCAAGCACAAGGACGCAATTATCGGCAAAACAAAGACCAAAAGGCTTTGTTGGCAATCCTTATTATAAATAAATGAAAGTCTTCAATTTAGACTTTTCATTTGTTTGAACTGGTCTCGCTCATCACAGTTACAGCTTACAGGATAATCATTTTAGTCCTTATTATAAATATTTAGGATGTCCGTGGACTCCTTCCATTTGGTTTTTTTTAATTGTAAATAAATGTACATTGATGTGTACATTACAAAACTTGTCTTGAGAGGTAGATGCGGTCATATCACATGACGTGGTTCACATTACGTCAATCTTATCCAATGAAATTATTATATATATATATATATATATATATAT